TATCTACTGTTATTGTAATACAAATTACAGAGAGTAAGTCAAGACAAGATTTCACAGACTCATTGGTATGTGCTGAGCCTCGAATGAGAAAGCATTAGGCTTTACCCAAAAAACGCCTTTTCTTTTCAATAAATTTCTCAAATATTTTGTCTTCTTTTAATAAATGAAAGTTCTAAATTTGTTGAAAATGGTAATTGGCGATTTACATAAAACTTAAGGAAATACAGCAACACAAGAAGCAACAGATTGTGTGTCTTATTTAGAATTTAAAAGCAAATTCAGCCTTTACAAAGACTGGGGAAACCATGTATAGCCATGACATTTTTCACAGATGTGATTTTCAGTTTCAAAAGCTTGCTTTGAAAAAATCTATTATTTAAGATGACATAGCATTCACTGCCATTCAGGAAGCTGGTAGTAAACAAATAGGTTCTTGTTGCCGTTTTGTTTTTTGCCAAAGCAATAGCAGTCTCTTGTATGTCACTAACTAAACTGACTCCCAAACAAAGAACTAATTTAATGGGATTCCCAAAGCATGTCAACCCAGATTAATCCTGTGGCAGCTATTCTTTACGGAACATTCAGCCTCTGCAGAATGAATTTCTGGCTGAGAAACTTATAAAACAAATACTATTTGTACTATAAAACTTTTTTTTCAGCCAATGCCTGTTTATATATTGTGGAGGTAGTATGGGATAATGGCAATGGCTTTGCAGGGTCACAAAGCTATAAGACCTTGGGAATGTTAATTTGTCCAAGGGTGCCTTATATCTCACCTATAAAATGGGGGTACCTCAAATGCTTTACAGGGTGGTTATGATATAATACATGTAAAGTACGCACCATGGCAAATTAGTTAAGAGCAAGGACCCTGGAGCCAGTGTATGTCCCATGAAAACATGAATCTTGTCAGTTTTGTTGACCCCTATATTCCTAGGGTTCAATAAAATAGTTCCTAGCACACAGTATGTGCCCAATAAATATGTGCTGAAAAAAGGAAATCAAACATCCTGGCTTTGTCAATTCCTGGTTATATGACCAAGGGCAAGCTACTTACCTCTGTAAGCCTCAGCAGCTATCTAAAGTGAGAATTAAATGAGCAAAGTGTAAATGCTTAACATACTAGCTATTACTGTTAAACAAGCTGAACACAGCATGAAAAAAGTAGGCACTCAATATGTGGTAACTATTATTACTAATTTGAATTTAAAATTAATATACTGTCTATTTTAAAAGATAATATTAATGAAAAGATAGTATGAGTTAAGGAAACTACTGGTTTTAAATAATGTTATGTATTTGAAAGCCTTTTTAAAATTGCTAAACATGTGACATTATAAATGCTTTAAAGCATGTTTGGAAGAGTACATTCACCTGCATTTAAAATTCTGTTGTTTAAAAATACTTTCTCAGATATTTACCTTTTCCCATTAAATATCACTGTAAGTGATAAAAGGAATCCGCCTTTATTATTCAGCAAAGGAAGTAGTTTTGAAGAGTGTGGGAAATACAGTTGGCCCACGTGTTCAATATTGAGAACAATGACAAAAATTCCTCTCATATTCTAAATGCAGCACTTGTAAAGTACTGAGATATAAACTACTTTGCAATACTGAGTAAATCAGTAATTATTTTAAAACATTATTGCATGGAAGACAAAAAAATGAAATTACTTATTACCTTAACTCAAAACCCACCACATATATATATACACACACACACACACACACACATACATGTATGTATGTATGTATGTATACATATGTGTGTGTATTTCAAAAATATATACGTAAATGAACACTTCAGCATAGGTAGAGTTCCCCTCTTCTACTCAGAAATGAGTATATATATATATATATATAAATTTTTACACAGAACTGCAGGGTCCTTCTCCTTTATTTCACTTATTTTATATTTTATCATGACATTTGTTCCACTGGAAACAAGATTCAGTAAAGTGTAGTAAGGACGTGTTACCTACCAGGGGAGACTTCCATTACTCTAAGCAACTCTCGCAATATTCGTACCAGAGTAGTTTTCACTGGTATCATCAGCTCTCCTTACCTCACAAATCTCTAATTTTCTGTCTCTTCTACCTTTTCTTCTGCTTTACCTTCCTCTTAACTTACTCTACCTTCCCTTTTTATTTTCTTTTTTCACTATGATTTTGCTTCAGGACTGCAAACTTTTATGCTACAAATAATATTTGTTTTTTAAGTTTCTTGGCCAGAAATTCTGGGACATATCATGACTTAGTTCCTAAGAAACTCCTAATGCCCCATCATGGTCCCTCTCCTGTCCCTGCATCCTTCTCTACCAGATTGTTTCCAAGGGACTTTTATAGTATAGAGTTAATTTACATAATAATTCATTATGAATTCCACAGCAAAGATACCCACAGATTAATGACAGTGGGTTGAAATGTTGATTTTGTCAAATGTAGTTAGGAAGGAAAGATGTCCTCCCGAGCAAAGAGTGCCAGCAGTCAGGAGAAAATTAACTGAGGGAAAAGTACAGCAAAGTGAAATGCAGGTCAGTGAGAAAGGAAGAGGCAGCGCAGGTTGTGATGGTGTGAAAATGAGGGACCAGATGAAAAAGACACTGATTCCTCCTTGCTCTGTGACACCTGAGCTTATCACACTGAGTCGTGAGAGTCAAAGTAAACTTTTTGAAGGAAGAAAAGACAGATCTCAGATCTCAAGCTGGTCCTGGTGAAGGGTGGGCCAGGGGATGCCTCCGTTCTGTGAATGACTTCTTTAAGCAGGCATTTGCCACTGCCTCTTACATTGATCACCTTTCCATCACATGCTCACTTCAGCCCTTACTCCAGGCTTCTTCTCTCTCCCTGACCTCTGCATGAGTCTCCCTCAGCATTAGCATTCTCACTGCGAATCAAACTGTCTCTTTTTTTTTTTTGTCTTAATTTTTCAGCTCAACATCTCTGCTAATACTACCAGTCTTCTCACTGGTCTTTGCAATGACAGTTCCTATATCTGGAGTGCTCTATCCACCTGTTACCTACTTTTCAAGTCTATGTTATTTTACCTTCCCTAGAATGCTTCCTTTTATTAAGTCTACGCTAAGCGTATCCTTCTCTGAATAGTATCACAAAACTCAAAAATCAATTGTTTACTAATTAACTATTCCTCTTATTCTCTCTTCCCCAACTTGACAATAAATTTAAGAGCAGGAACAAAATCTAATGAATCTTTGGATTCTGACACTGGATGACTGACTAGAATATTAATAAGAGTCATTTTGGTCGATTCTCCCAAGTCCTGACAGAGCCTCATCATTTACTATAACATGAACACAACTTCTGTCTTACGAGAAGTCCTTTTTCTCCACAATCCCAAAATCTGACACAGTTAAAAGGGGAAAGTTTATATTATAATCATAAAAAAGGAGGTTTTTATAATCGCAATTGGAAACACTGTAAGGACACAGTTTTTTCATCAACTTGCCATGCTGGTTTTCTTTTATTACTTCCACATGTCTTACTCCGCCTGTATTATATAATAAAAATGTGTATGTCATCAGTCTCCCTGTTCTGAACATCAGTTGTTCTGAACACCAATGCATGACCTCACATCTAGGGTTTATATTTTGACTTCTGGTCTGCAGTGGCGCTATGCTATGCTTATCAATAACAAAATTATGTTTTTGATATAAACACTTTCGAACATTTAAAAAATTCTATAAGACTTTCTCTTTTCCAATTAATTGATAAAAGATGTCTCTGGGTCATTGATTATAGCAATAAGAAATATGCAAGAGATTCTTATTCTTTTTTTCTTTTTTAAACTTATAAGATTTGTCAAAAGGTGAATGGTGGTAATATATTTTCTGCATTTCTCATCCATGTTGGAGTCAAGCAGAGCACCAAGTAATTACCTGGTTATGTATTTCCTTGGCCACATGTTACAAAGTTTTCATGTGAGAATTAAATATTGGCATGTGGTAACATTCCAATTTCACAATTGAGTTCTGCCTATGGAGATCTAAGTCACAAATCACTCCAGGTTGGGAAAGGGAATCTAGTTTTAATATTTTTCTCAATAGTCAGAGTTTACATATTTTTATCTACTATCGGCACTGAAAACTTCAGATTCTATTAATTTTTCTCTTTGAGTCTTCTACAACTTTGAGGGAATAAGGGTTGTTGTTCATTTAAAATATTTTTAGTTTTTATTCTTTCTAATGAACGTTTTGATTGTCTCATGCACATCAACAATTTAATTTTGAGCTAAGATCAACTTAGGAGTTTTAAAAAGTTGTTCTACTCCTAGAAGGTAAAGAAAAGGAAAGCTAGACAATGTTGTTAATAAAATATATAAAAATTCAGTTTGGGAAAAAAAGTCCCTAAAGAAAGAAAAGATTAGATTGAGTATGTATCACTAGTGAGTTCAGAATTAGCATTTCATTTTCCTTGCCAAGTCATAAAAATGGTAAGCAACAAATAGAATGGAATTTAATAAAAATAAGTATGATGAGCTATACAAACACATGATTTTATTGACACCTGACCTCAGGGTCAAATGCTTAAAACACTCTCATTTGTGACTAGCAAGTATTTTGCTCTCAATAGTTGCATCCTATTAAACCACTGGACATGATGGTTGAGGTTTCCACCAATTTGAATTAAAAGATGGGGATTATCTCATTTGAACTACATGGAGGTCTTGGAAGGGTAGAGTAAGCATTTCCTCATGACAAATTCACTATTTCTAATTCAATAATAACATCACATGGAGATTTGCCTTTTTAGTCATGACTGCAACAAATTTTACAGTGGTATTGTTTAACTCATTCGTTGATTTATAGCTGTAAACTAGGATCTTTAATTGTATTAAGGTGCTATCCCCTTATTCTCTTACAAAGAAGGAAGCTAATATCACAATTGATGAAATTCAATACTTTGACCACATCTCCATTTACAACATCATTTATGTACTACTATGATCTTTGTGGAAATGTTCAGAGAAATGTGTGAAACTCACTCAATGAAGTAGACTTCACCCTTCTCTGTATAGGCCATTTCCCAGTTATCAGGCAATGGGTCTGATTCATCATGCTCTTCAGGTTTAGTTGGTTTTGCATCATCCATCTGTTCCTTCACCTCCTCGGGCTGACTATACACTGGTGCAGGATAAGGCTGGGAGGGTGTCTCCCCTGAGGCACCTGCACTCTTGTCTTCATGTTCACTGGATTCTATGAGAGAACAAGAGCATAGGGTTAGTCACTCGAGCCACTGTAACTTCTGAGTGAGTGCGGACTACGCTCATCAGGGAATGAGCTCTGTGAAGGCTAATAGGAAAAGCACAATTGTAACCAGCTCTGAAAATTATCAGTAGGCCTATTGGTGTTCCCTTTTCACTCATCATTCTCACCGATCCTTCAACGAATTATTGCTGATGACTAACTTGGACGACCATTTCACAATGCAGGTGTGGCAGACAGCGTAATGCTCCCTAAGGATGCCCATGCCCTACGCCCTGGAACATGTGATTTTTACCTTACACGGCAAAAGAAGATTTGCGGAACTGATCACACTAAGGACCTTGCGATTGGGGGATTATCTTCAACTATTCAGGTGGGCTTATTTTAATGACAAGGGTCTTTACAAGTGTAAGAGGAAAGCAGAAGACGAGTGTGAGAGGGAGATGTGACTACTGAAGAATGGCAAAAGAGATGCACTGGTGCTGACTTTGAAGATAGAAAGGGACCAAACACAAGCTAAGAAATGGGGGTGGCCTTTAGAAGCTGGCAAGGCAAAAGAATAGATTCTCTTCTAGAGCCTCTAGAAAAGAACAGTTTTTCAGACATCTTGATTTTAGCCCAGTGAGACCCAGGTCAGACCTCTAACCTACAGAGCTGTATGATAAAAAATATGCATTGTTTTAAGCCACTAGGTGTGTGGTAATTTGTTACAGTAGCAATAGAAAACTAATGCAACAGAGCAAAAACTAAAAGAGATACATACCTTAAGAGAAATGATAACAGGCTTGGAGGACAGACCCAAGGGTACCAACATGCAAATGGTATGAGCTCCAGAATGAGGAAAAGGGCCACATGGAGAAGAAATAACAACTCAATAAAAATAGAATATAAGTTGCCTAAAATGAAGAAACACTTGAGTCTGAAGATTAAAATGGTTCACTGAATCTGAGGCCAAATTAATGAAGTATTTATTTCACCTAAACACATCTAGGTGAAATTTCCAAGCTCCAATGTTAAGAAACAACTTTACCAGCTTCCACATTGAAGAAAAGTACCCACAAAAAAGAGGAACAGAAGATCATCAGACGTTTCATCTATAATACCCTAAGCTCAAAGACAGTAAGGTGACATCTGTAGTAACTTGAGGAAAAGAAAAGTACAGCAACCCAAGAACTTAACTCTACCAAAATATTATTCATCTATCTAGGCAAAAGAAAGTCACTTTTAAACCTGCGAAAGTTCTGAATGAAATCTTACCTTTGGAAAGCTCAGGTTCAGAGAAATTTCCTACAAGGTAAGATGGTGATTGGGAGAGAAATTCAAAGGGGAAATTTAGATTTAAGGTACTCCCTGGTTCATTCAGGGATTCAGCACCACTATATTTAGGTTTTGGTCTCGGGTGTGGCAAGGTAATGGTAAGAAGAGGGAAACCACAGGAAAGATCAAGGGAGCCAAAAGCAGAGGGGGCCTATAACTACTTTAGTTTGGAACTTTGGGAGGAATGTTTCCTGCAGAGTGGCTCCAAATCTCCACTGGGGTGTCAGAGATAAATGGATGAACACATTTGGCAAACACTACTCCCAAGACTTCCCTGTGGCATGCACATCATGCAGAAGTCCAAGTATGCTCTGGCGGAGACTTGGAAAGTAGCTAAGAATAGAGAACCGATCCGCCTGCACTGAGGGTCACTATGGCTTCTTCACAGCAGAAGGCGTGGTAGGGACAGCTTAACCCAGAAACTGGAAGGAGACACTACTGACATACAATGTTAATGTGATGGTGAGGCAGCCCTCTTGGAAACGTGAAATTCCACAATTGTTTGGGAACCTAATACATAGCTATTAACATTAAAAAAATATATACAAGTACATATATGCTTCGACTCAGTAATCCCAGTTTGAGAATATAACCTCTAGGAATAAAGGTGGTGGTGTATAAAAACACCTATATGATAATATTTACCGTAGCACTGTTTGTAGTAGCAAAGACCTGGAAACGATTTGGATGCCTATCAATGAGGGTATGATTAAACAAATTGTGGTTATCGTTACCATGGAAAACTATGTAGTGTAAAAACCTGCTGACCTGGATAAGATGCTAATCATTACTATTCAAAGAGTAATCCAAATTGAAGAGTAATACGTGTACACTGTTAATTCTATTTAAAAAAAAAAAAAAGCAAACAGCAAGCTAGATATATGCATATAATTTTGTTTACAACTATATGAACAAAAAAACAAGATGAAAAGATGTACAACAGATGGTTAACTTTGATTAAACAAAAACAGTAAATTTGTATGGGTGTGGGAGTTTTTTTACGTATCTTTGCATTAGTTGGCTATTATATTTATAAGTTTAAAAATAATAAAGGTAATTTAAAATGAGTAAATTAAAGTAGAATGTACTTTTTGTCTTAATCAACGGCTTGGATTAATTTTTTTCCCCATATGCGTCAGTCTCAGAGAGCAATATGAAAGCATCTTTAGGAATTAGGACAAGAACACTTTACAAGCTTTTGTTGTTTTGACCTTAAAAAGAAGATTTTATTAAAATAATATGGTCCTTAGTGATGTAGTCTCCCAGCTGATTCTTCATACAGATTTAAGCTTTGTAAATTGTGCCGGAAAGAAACAGCAAGAGAAGGTACCATTGCTCTTTTTAGATTCTCCTTGCTGTACCTTATTACCGCATGTAATTACCAGTACGTGAAGCGTACCGTTCTCAGGTATTTCCAAATGTCGTGTTGCATTTGAAAAGTTAAAAAGCAAGGTCATGATCTGAACACATTCATTTATTCAATACTCACCTAATCAGTATTTATTAAACACTCAGTTGGCGTCAGGCACCGAGGACAGAAGAGCAAACAAGAGAGGCATGATCCTTGCTCTCACGGAACTCAAAGTATTTCAAGATGTGTAGTCTTTAAACAATTTTAAGTGCGATGAATACTATCAAAGGGAAAGATGAGATCTTACGCATACACATTCCTCATGAAGAATCAAGGAAAGCCCTTTTTCCAACATGCTATCAAATCTGAGACTAGAAAAAGGAGTCAAGTGACTTCTTTCAGAGGAAAGTAAGGGAGAAAGAAATACATAAAAAAGGAATAGAGTAGGCCTTAGAAAGCACGCTCAGAATTTGGGACTGTATCCTGAGAGTAACGAGAAGGCACTGATGTGTCTTAATCAAGGGGATGGCACAAGTAGGTTTTTATTCTCCGCAAAGACCCTCTTAGCTATTCTGGGGGTTTGAGGGTGTTAAGAGTAGACATTTACAGACCATTGGGGAGTTATTTTCGTGTTTGAGACAGAGACGTTGGTGGCATGGGCATGGCTTCTTTTTATGAACTGAAAAAAAGTGTAGAATACGGATTTGGTATGATATTTTAAAAAAGGTACAGATAAGGACAAATGAGAAGTCATGGTAAACCCAGTGGGGGGCAAAGCAATTCACTGAGCTAGGCACCATGACAGGAGGAGCAGGACTCTGTCAGGAGTGGGAAAGATAATGGCTGTAATTTTAGGCACAACAGATGGAAGTCCATGCCAAACTCACAATGGAGATGTCAAGTCAATGAGTTCTTGGCTGGAGGGTATCAGCTTGAAAGACTACAGCATACGGATAGATTGTATTATAATTTAAGCCACAGGAGTGAATGAAATTGCCTAGAGAGACAGTGCAGCAAGTGGAAACAAGAATACCTAGAGCAGCTGTCTGAGGAACTCCAACATTTAAGTCATAGAGAGAATGACGAGGGAAGAGCAACCAGGGAAGTAACAGAAAAACCAGTTGATCTTCATGTCACAGAAGCCAAGCAAAGGTGTATGAGGAGGAAACACTTAACTGTGGCCAAAACTTCTAAACAGTCCATCAGCAAGATTAGGATGTAAAATCTAATGAAATTCAAGATATGGAGGTCACTGGGGATGTTAGCTACCAGCTGTGGTACTAGTTGCAGTGGAGTGGTGGATGGGAAGGCCAAGCTGGAATGGATTAAATGAATGCATAAAGAGAAAATATAGAATATGCTAACAGAGAAAGTCAAAGATTAGCTATGAACAAATAAACTTTTTTCTTCATCTAAATAACTATTATATTTTCAAGAGAAATGTGAGACATCTCCTGAAAAAAAAAAGTCTAGAGTCTTTGGAGATGTCTATAGCTATATTTATAACTATTGATGTGCTAGAGATTACTGAGCCATGTTCTCCCAGTTTATCTAGCTCATTTATTCATTCATTCCTTTATTCTTATCTAATCAATCAATTGTTACATTAGCAAACATGAATTTATACCTACAATGTGCAAGGTACTTGACAACAGCTTAATGGGGGAGAGAAAAAGAACTTTTTATCAGGCTACTGAGAATTGGGTTGAAATGTAAGTAATAAGGAGCATCCACTTTCTTTATTTGAGGAAAATAAGAGAAAAAAAATGAGTAAGGCAAATGGACAACCACAACTTCCCCACGTTTACTATTAATAAAGGCTAATCTAGGGAATGCAGTTTATGGTGAGGGTCAAGGGCTTCTGGTAAAATGCAGAATCAAGCTAATATACCCACAGGCAGTACTGAACCACGGCAGGCTTCCCATGCAGGGGTAGAACCTGTTCCCGGAAGAGCCGTGCAGGGTATTAAGAGGAAATAAAAAGAGGACTTGAGCCAAGGAGGCCCAGATTATCCTTCAAAGATGTATCACTCAGAGAAGTCACTCTACCTCTTTTGGGCAGAATAAGTCAAGGAGCCAGTGGAGTGAAAATTAAGTACCCTCTTTGACATGCAAGACAACATGGGAGGTGGGGAGGAAGTACTTCCCCCCAATGGATAACAATGCAGAGTACTACCACAATGATTTATTGAAGGATACTCAGTGACACAAAAGAGCTGTATACAATTCTCTAGGGAATTGTATACAATCTAGGCACAGGGAAACAAGAGTACCTAAGGCAGCTGTCTGAGAAACTCCATTATTTAACAGTCAGCAAAGGAAG